TCGGCCTGCAGCTGTCGCTTCTAAAACTGGCCGAGGAAGAAGAAACTCAGACATAAAACATAGACGGCAAAGGGGAAAGCCACTCAGTTGGGGACGGAGGGGTTTTTAAAGGCTGCAGGGGATGGATGTTAAGAAAGAGCAAAAGGCAGAGGAAGCTGGAGGAAAACTAATCCGACAGACAGGCAGATTAACAGAGTTGGGAGGGACCTTGGAGGTCATCTAGTCCACCACTACCCCACCCAACAGCCATTTTTGACAGAGGGCAGCCCAGTCTCTCCTTGAAAGCCTCCAGGGATGAAGCTCCCACAACTTCTGAAGGCAACGTCTGTTCCACGGGTTGATTGTTCTGTCAGAAAATGTCTCTTTATTTCTAGGTTGAATCCATTGTTCCTTGTCTGGTCTTCGGGCGCTTTGGAAAATAGCTTGACCCCTTCCTCTCTGAAAAGACACTTGCAAGGAGCTAGCTTTTCCCCCAAACTGACTTGGAATAACGATCAAAAACTTGGGGTTTAAATTTCTCACAGCAAAGTTGTATTTATACGAGTCTTTTTAAATCTTGGCAACTGTTAAGATGTTGTGGACTTCAACTCCCAGATTTCCCCAGTCAAGCAAAGCCGGATGAGGAATTCTGGGAGCTTAAGTCGATGCATCTTACAGTTGCCAAGGTCTTCAGAAAGACTCATTTATACCCTATAATTTGGTTAATTATTCCAGACTCTGTGGAATATGCCCCTCATGCCTATGGATCACAAAATCAAATTGGGAAGCCCTGGAAACCACCACTAAGGACTAGAAACACGGCGGGGGCTGCAGCCTCAGCCAAACCTGCTGGCTTCTGAGGTGGGGAACAGGGCAGCCCTCTTCTTTTTCCAGCCTTCAGCCTCCCATGACTTCCAAAGAAGGAAGCGGGTGTCACACAAGGCAGGAGAAGGAAGCTGCCACTGCACCAGATAGTCATGTGTAGGTCTCTGGACCCAGTCTGGGTAACCGAGATAAAAGCCACTAGGCAGATGGTCCCCCCAAGAAATGCCGCAGGGAAGCCAGCGAGGATCCCTGATAGAGCTCTGGGCCAAACTTCTGGCACCCCCAGCAGCGCCACAGAATACAGAATACAGAATAACCGAGTTGGAAGGGAACTGGGAGGTCTTCTAGTCCAACCCTCCCAACTCAAGCAGGAAACCCTACTACACCATTCCAGACAAGTGGCTGTCCAGTCTCTCTTTGAAAGCCTCCAATGACTGACCACCCAACCACCTCTGGAGAGAAACCGTCCTACTGATTGATAGTGTTTCCCACTGTCAGGAAATTCCTTGAAAGAAGACCATGATTAGAGAGAGGACCGTGACCGCTTAGAGAGGGCTGTAAAGCACTACAAAGCGCTATATAAGTCTCTAAGTGCTATTGCTATGATGGCCAAAAAGGAAAGAAGAGGATTGAGGGAGTCTTTTGGATTCACCAATCGGGCCCCAAAGCCGAGTTTCTATCCATCCAAGCAGCCCAAACGAACCCACGGGATTCCTCTCCCTCCCTCCCAGTGTTTACTCGAATCTGAAGTCAATGAGTTACTACTTCCTGACTCGGAGGCGATTCTTCCACGGGAGGAAAGTCAGGCAACTTAACTCTGCAGCTTTTCCAAACGAGCCAATTTGGTGAAGAGGCAAGAAGCCAAGTGGCCTGCATCGGATGGAGGGGGTTTCAGCTCCCCAAACTTAGTGCTGCCTTTGAATGACATGTTGGTCTGGAAGGGAACTCAACGAAACCCTTGCACTTTTAGCTCTGTGCAGAGCATTTCCCCGAAAGCAGAAATATTTATTTATTGTTCTGGGAAATCCATTCCTCATCAAGTCACTTTCTCTCTCGAGGTAGAGACACAAATGTAACTAGCCCAACAAGAAACAGTAGCTAACCCACTGGGTGTGCACACGTGTGCAGAGGGAGATGCACAACTGGGTCTGTTTACAGCACAAGCAGGCCGTCTTCTGGGACAGCCCCTCCAAGCCAGGATGGCTGAGGAAAGACCCCTCCCACACTGGATGTGACCTTTCTCCTAAATATATTTTCCATTGCTCAATCCGGAGGCAACCAGATAGTCCTCAACTTACAACAATTGGGATCGGTCAAAAGTCATTGTTGTAAGCCAGAGGTCTTCAAACTTGGCAACTTTAAGACTTGTGGACTTCAACTCCCAGAATTCTCCAACCAGCTATGGATTCTTAAGATTTGAAGTTCACAAATCTTAAAGTTGCCAAGTTTTTGGGACTCCTGTTGTAAGCCGAGGCACCCCATGACCAGACCTGGGGTTTTTTTTTTTACCCATTTTTTTATACTAGTCATTAAGCAGATCACAAGTCATTAAGGGAATCATGCAGTCAAGAAGCAAATGGAGGGTTGCAATTCCAAATCCACTTTCCCAAGCAAGCATTTTGTTGTTGTTTTGCCAGAAATCATGGTCATGTGGCCGTGATTGTAAATGCAACAGGTCCTCGAGCACCCAAAATGTGGCCATGTGACCACAGGGGCAGGGCAAACCAACAGCTGGAATTGGTACTATAAGGCACCTTTTGGAGGCATTATAACTTTGGGGTCTCCTGCCTGAGCAAGGGGTTGGACTGGAAGACCTCCAAGATCCCTTCTGACTCTGTTATGCCGTATTCTAACCCATCAGTTGTAAGTTGAGGATCACTTGTCTGCATAAAAATCAGGCATTTCCCCTCCATCCGAAATGGAAAATTACAAGACACGTTTTTGGCTGACTGAGCATGGGAGACACGCATCCATTTTAGCAGACGGAAATGAGATTTAACTGAGTCTTGAACTCTAGCCACCCAAGTAAGAGCTGTAGTCCAGAGTCAAAGCAAAGCCAGCCCTGGCAGAAGCATACCAAAGCCCATGTGTCATCGCCCAGCCAGGAGGGAACAGGGTACTGGCGCACCTACAACATGGCAGAATGATTAATTACAGGTGCCGAATGAACACAGCCACACCCAGCCCCACAAACACCAGAGAGATCCAGGCAAGATGGAGAGGCGGATTTATTTGCACACTCCCCATTAGTCCACTTATCACTAACAATGTCTTTGTAGGACCTTCACACTCATTTCACAGGGACTTTCGCAAGAAATGTGAAAATGAGTGTGCAGAAGCCGGGAAGGTTCAGCTGAACGCACACAAGCATGCAGGAGTAATCTGCACTTCATTCAACCACCGGGGAGCTTGTTTGTGAGTAAGCAGACAAAACTAGTTAAGAGAATCAGATTGGCAAGTGGGAAGCCCAAACCACGAGGTGATTTAAGGTCAGGAATGTTAGAATCTAAACTGGAATCTAATTTTATCTCTTATGCACATGTCCTCGACTGGATGTTCCACGTTTTGCGAGGGCGGGGTTCTGTTCTACACAGCAGTTTGGGGTTCTTTAGCTGTTTTATCTTGACCCCCATTGGTGCAGACCAGGAGCGGGCAGCTATTGACAACCTGTGGACTTCAACTCTCAAGAATTCCTGAGCCAGCTATGGCATTCTGGGAGTTGAAGTCCACAGGTCATGGCTCCATCCCTGGAAAGCAACAGACTCCCCATCAGGAAGAACTCAGAAACCCCTTTTCCAGCTGGATAGCTGATCCACGTGGCAGAGTGGATTGTCATAGCCTCAGCTGTGTTACTTCCCCAACGTAACATTGAAGGTAAGTAACTGCAGGTAATTGAAGGTAAGTAACACCGAAGGTAAGCAATTAGCGGACCAGTTGTTACACTGGGAAAATCTCACCCCGAGCTGCAGCCTTGAAGAGACCAACGTTGGCACTTGGCACACTGAACATGAAGGTGAGGCTCCCCAACTCCCCCCTCTCACTACGCCAAGAAGACCACAACCAAGTCTGGGCCGGATTTCTTACCAACAACAGCAGCTCTGCCGTTATAGCCTGAGGCTCTGATGTTCTCCAACAGTTAAACATCGTAACTCCCCCCCGCCCCTCAAAAAATAAAACAAACACAAAACAAGACATTAAAGATTTCATTTAAAAAAAACTAACAACGCATATTATCCCGCCTAGCTAAGTACTAATTAATACATTACAATATTTCCCATCCCTTGCAAACAAAAAACAAAAAAAACAGGGCCCCCAAAGTTTTAAACCACTAAATCAATTGGCAAATTATTGCCATTTATATAGGATATTAATGACAAAACAGTTAAGAAGGCAAAATTAAAGTTTTAAAACCCTTTAAGGTGCAAAAGTTTCTAGTCCTCAGGGTCAAGGAGCAAAAAGCTAACCCTCCACTTCTCCTCCTTCAACAGCACAAGCAGCCAGAGGGGGGGGGGACCGTTGTCTACCACACACCCACACATTCCTACAATTTTTCCGCTGCTGTCACCAACTACAGCCGAGCCTTAGGGACCTTTTCGAGCCAAGGAATCCTTAGTCAGACATCAAATCCCAGAAGTCAAGAGAGGCGGCCGTTGCGCTGGAAATTTTGGCGGCCTTGAGGGTCGTTTTCTCGCCTTCGGCCTCTCCCCGACCCCCCTCAACTTCTTCTCCCCAAACCGCCATTTCAGGCTCTGTCCCGGGACTCCCCGCATTGGCCGAGGGGGATTCCTCCCCGCGCTCCCCCCCCCCCCGCCCCAAAGGCAGCGACACACGCAGCCCCGTCCTGGGCGCGGTGCAGTTGGGCCGAGGCGCCCGATGGGCAGGATTTGGGGTCGGCCGGGCTAGGAGTGAGTCACACGTTCAGCGCCACGCCCGACCGGAGAGGGGAGCCCAGGCGGGACCAGCCGGCCAGGCCCCCGCCCGGAAAGCGGAGGGAGCGGGGCGCAAAGGAGGATCGCGCCCGGCCCCTCCCCGCCCAAGGCGCCCGCCTCAAGGGCCTTCGGGTAGAGGAGCGCCGGGCGCTGTCAAGGCCAGAGCGGCTGTCGGGCCGGCCGGCTGCCATTTTACGGCTGGTCGGCGGGCCAGCCGGTCCGGCGCGACGGAAGCGAGCGTGGCGCGCGCGCGGGGGGGGGTCTCACCTGGCCTTGAGCTCCTTGAACTCCTCGCGGACCTTGGTGAGCTCCAGCTGGAGCCGGGCGCGCTCCTTGGCCACCGAGTCCAGCGTCTTGCGGGCGTCGTTCAGCTCGGCCTCGTAGGCCGCCTTGATGCCGACCACCTCGCGGCTGACCTCCTCCTCCGACTCGGTGATGCGCAGCCGCAGCCCCGCGTTCTCCGACTCCAGCGAGCGCACCTTGTCGATGTAGACGGCCAGCCGGTCGTTCAGCTCCTGCAGGTCCTCCTTCTCCTGCAGGCGGGTGATGCGCGCGGGCGAGAGCGGCGTCGGGGTGGCCCCGCTGCGGGGGCCGCGCTTCTGCCCGGCGGGGGTCTCCATGGCGGCGACGAGCGGGCGGGCGACGAGAAGCTGGCGCGTCCCTCCGGCTGACGGCGACGCGTCTGAGTCACTCCCGGCCTGGCCGCCGCCTCAAATACCCCCGGGAGGAGCGCGGGGCGGGCTGGACGGCGCCGGCTCCGCCCCTCCGAAGGACGCAGCCCAGGCAGGCCCCGCCGAGCCCCCGGCCCGCCGGCGGAAGAACCCCGGGGAGGCGGAGGGGGCGCCGGGCTGGAGAAAGCTCTGCCCTCCCCCCTCTCCCCCGGGTGTGCCCTCCGGCCGGGAATGCGGGCAGTTGTCGTCCCCTCGCCCTGTGGAGCGCAGCTGCGCGGCGCCTTCTTTGGTCGGGCTCCATCGGAGGGACCCCCCGCCCCCGCCCCGCTTTCCCCCGAGGACGAGTCCCGCCGCCCCGCTTGGCTCTTTCGGGACGAGGCAGCCCAGCCCGCCGCCCTCTCCGCTTCCCAAGGCCGGCCTTCCCGTGCGGCAGAAGCCATGGTTGGAGTGGCCTGTCGTGCTGACCAGGCGCGCCTGCAGGCCGGGCGTGGCGGGAGGGTCGGCCGGTGGCCGGGAAGACGCGCGCTGGAAGCGCTCCCTGGTTCTTGAAGGGCCCCGGGCAGAGCTTCAGGTGCAGCGGCCTGGCTGCCATTTTGACTCTCTTGCCCGTACCCGGGGAGGCCCCCCCCCTTAGTGGGCCAAGAGAAACGCTCCTCCGGCTGGGTTTCTTCTCCTGATTTCTCCTCTGGCTTCCTGCACTTTGTGGAAGGCTGAGGCGCCTCTTGGGTGGGATCCTGGGCTTGGGGGGGGGGCCTGAATAGAGGCCCTTCTGAGTCTGCCCCCCCCCCCCCCCCCCCCGGGGCCGCCCTCCCCCCTTTCTTCCCCCCCCCCCCCCCCCCCAACCCAGTCTTTGCCCAGCCTCCCTTTTCTCCTGCCTGGGGTGAGTGACAGCCCTTCAAAGTGACACCTGTCAGTCACAGCCAAAAGCTTCCCCTCTTTGCTCCCAGGACTGCATCAAGGGGTCCTGAGGGGCAACAGGCAGGCCACCTGGGGGGTCAGACATCGCTCAACACTCAAACCTTGAATGTTGGCATGTTTGGAGTTTTGCAGAATGCAGGCCCTGGACATCAGCCATCCAAAGGGGTGTTGGGTCACCCCCGGCACGAACTTGGGAGCGCCGCAACAGGCTGGAATTACAAGGCTGCCGTTTGGACCCCCCCCAGCCACCTCCTGACCAAGCCAATGAGGGAATCCGGATTCACTAAATGACCGACTGATTTAAGGACCCCGGCGATTTGCTTAACGAGGGTGGCAAAAAATGTCATAAAATTAGACATAACTCATTGAATGACCGCCCTGCTTAGCAAAAGTACCAGTCCCAACTGTGGTTGTAACTCAAGGACTGCTTGTAAATACATACTTAACAAATGTTCAATAAATAAATAATCAATTCCAAGAGTATTGATCTTCCTAACTTAAAGCCCCACCGCACTTTCCAAATTAACATCTTTCCCATCCTTTGAACCAAAACTGCACCAAAAGATTTTAGAGGAACACTTAACATGCCCCCCCCCCCCCCACCTTTGGGCCGTTTTGTCCCTCCTGGCAGAGCCGCCCCCCCCCATCCATCCGTCCGTCTGTCCAACCTGCAGGCTTTGCCTCACTTCTGTTTCAACCCAGGTTGTTTCATCAGGTTCATTTTTTTAGCTCCGTTTGCTGAACGTGTGTCTCTTGTTCCATGACTTTCCACACATTTTAGTGGAAAACCACTTGGTGTTTTCTTTGTTTCTTTGCATTTTTCCAATGTCCCACATTTTTTAGTCCATTCTCTGCAGCTCTTTTCCTCTTTCTAGAAGATACGTATCGTTCGTTTCCTTTCTTTGCCTTATTCGTTCCATTATATGCCCTTTTTTCTCACCCACGGGGCCTTTCACTTCATCCCCCTCCCACATTTTTTTTTCATCCATTTTGCAATCTTGTTCTTTCTGTCTCAAACAGCTTCCACGTCCCTCCTCTTTTCTTCCCAAAGGCCCACTTTCCATACATTCTCTGCTGGGAAACTAGACGTTTTCGAGAACTGGCTGGGATGCAAATGGCAATAACAACTAAAATAATTAATTTATATTATAATACATTTTAATTTCGGACTCTTACTTTTTCTCCCTGCAGTGATTCAAATTTCATTCCTTTCCTTCCATGTCTAGTTTTTCCCACAATCCATTTGTGACTCTCCCAAAAAATAGTCTTTCCAGTTTTAAAGCTTATCCTTCCCCCTCCTCTAATTCTCGCTATTCCCAGAACCAAGCAGGCCGATCCTGCATTTGGGGTCCCACTCATTCCTTGCCACGAGAACAAGGTGTCGTGGCAATGGCGCCAGGTGAGAAACCAAGGGAGAGTGTGTTCTAGTTCTGCCTTGGCCAAGAGAGAGACAGTGGGCCAGTCCCTCTTTCTCTGGCCAGTCCACCTCACAGGGTTGTTTTTCCGAGGAAAATAGGAAGGAGTGTTTATGTACACTTGCTGCCTTGAGTTACTTATAAAATAATAAATGTAGGATAAAAATAAATGAACCAAATTGCTAAAGCCTCTGCTACTTCTGATTCTGTCTAGCAGGCAGCGTCTTATTCTTAGCCCTCCAAATGTCACTTATTCTCTGGTAATCCTCATCCACGCGTTCTCGATCCATTTCTCCTGGACTGTGTTCATTCAGAGGGGTGCACAGTTCCCCCCCAAACTTATCTCTGGTTCTTCCGTTACCACTGTTCATTGGAGGCCTCCATTGAGGTCTACCTTCGTGCAGAATAACAGAGTCGAAACGGACTTTGGAGGTCTTCTATCCACACATAACACCCTCAAGCAGGGGAGAGAAAAGAAGAGAGGCGAATCCAGAGTGCGTTGTGGCGACTCTGAAGGCCTTCCATGCCACCTTGTGCCCGGCCTCTCTGCCTGTTGGCACTCCCGGGGGGGGGGGGCACCAGTTCAAAGCAAGGACGTGAGCCTCCCCAGTGTTCTGACCCAAACCCTTTCCCAATAAAACAAACACAAACCAAAGGGAACAGGAACCTTTTAATGATTCTTACGAGTCCCCGGGCAAAAGGCCGCTGCAACCTAATTAACTTTGATGAGCACAAACCTCGCCAAAGCTGTGTGAGGCTGCCAAGAATAACAGATAAGGTTACCTAGAAATCAGTGGTGGGGTTCAAATTGTTTGACTGCCAGTTCTGTGGGCGTGTCTTGGTAGGCGCGGCAGGAGAAGGATACTGTAAAATCTCCGGTCAGAGGTGGTTTTTGCCGGTTCTCCGAACTATTCAAAATTTCTGCTACCGGTTCTCTAGAACTGGTCAGAACCTGCTGAATACCCACCTCTGCTAGAAACATTTTACAACACAAGAGTCTTCAAATACCAACTTAAGATACTGCAATGTCCACAAGGCTGAGTTTCAAAATGTTTTTGCTTCCTGCAAAGAACGTCCGATTCACAGGTGGCTTTTATCTTCTTGAAGGAGGGGCCATTACCTTGCAGCCTTACTCCCGTGTCTCAGTTGCCTGTGCTGCTGCAGCTGCTCTTTTCTGCAAGCAATCCTGCACACACGTGCACTTGACACAGGCTCCTCGGGAACCTCCTCATCGCTGCTGCCAGCCCCCACAATCTCCGAAGGCAGCAGTCCACTCCCTCATGGTCCTGGCCCCTCATCTGAGTCCTCGCTCTCCTCAGCCGTCCGCACCTGCTCCCGGCTAACTACAATACCCAGAGACGCAACTCCTTTTGCAGCTCAAAGCGCATCCTTCCGGCTGAAATGGGCAGGGATGCGTGTCTTTCCTCATCCTAGTCAGAGACTCTGAATTTCTGAGGTGACGTCCCTCTCGGAGGGGACAAGAAGAGGAGGCCTGCTGCGGATCCCATCGGCTGAGGAAGCGAATCCCAGGAGATCAAGGTTTCTGCTGGGGCCTCATCCCTGTGGAACCCTCTGCCACTGAAAGGGGGAGCTGCCCCCCCCCTTTGGCCCTGCGGAAGGGGTCAGAGCCTGGCTGTTCCGGCTGGCCTTGGGCCCCGAGAGGGGGACGCTCACCCCATGATGAGGCTGACGGGGTAAGAAGACTTGACCCCCATCCTGTCTCTCTCTTAGCTCTTGTAGGGTTTAGTGCAGTTTTTTAATATTTTAATCTGTGTAGCTTTAATGGTTTAATATGTTAATTATTTTTTTACGTGTTTAATAGACCTGTCAGCCGCCTAGAGTCACCTTGTAGGAGTGGTGGGTAGAAACGTCATCGGTCCATCAATACCCTTGCAGCGTAGCGATGTGGGGGCAGTTATGCTGGTCTACGACCCTAATGAAGCTTCGATTTGGTTTGAATTGATTTGATTTGATGCTAGCTGGTGGTGGGAGGGTGCTCAAGGTATAAGACCCTTGAGAGTTTGGGCTGCCACAGGCAACCCTGGATCCCCTCCCCTTGGAGACAGACTTAGCAGCGCAAACCAGAGGTGTTGCGGGGGGGTGGGTGGGTGTGCTGCGGTGTGCAATCCTTGTGCCAGTGTAATCCTGGAAACAGAGGCCGCTGGGTCCTGGCACCAGGTGTGAAGGCCGAGAGACCTCAGGATGCAAAGGCCGATGAAGAGATTGCCCCTTTTTCAATAATTAACATTTAAAAATAATGTCCTCTCTGTTTTATACAGACACGCACAGACACCCTATTAAAATACTGGCCTGATGGAGGCTGTGAGCCACCCAGAATAACACAGCAACAGACTTAGAAGGGGACCTTGGAGATCTTCTAGTCGAACCCTCTGCTCAGGCAGGAGATCTGCCTATAACATTACTGACAACTGGCGGTCCAGCCTCTTCTTCGAAGCCTCCAGTGACAGCGCAGCCGCTGCTTCTGGAGGTAAGCCATCTATCCCCCTGATTTCTCACCGTCAGGAAATTCCTCCTTAACCCTAGGTTGATTCTGTCCTTGAGTAGCTTCCACCCGCTATTTCTTTCATTGTTTTGCTTTGAAATGAGACGGGCAGGAAATCTATTTAATAAATGCATAAATAAATAGTTAACTGCACTTTCGAGCAGCCAGTCAGCTTGGATTCCTTCTACCCTCCTGCCCTTTTTTACTTGCCGGAAAGTTTTTGTTTTTTTTCCAAAATCCTGTGGGAGGGGATGTAATGGAGAGCCCTTCTCCCTGGCAGGCGGGGTGGGGCTCCTGGCTGTGTCTCTTGCTCCTCCCTCCTCCTCCTC